AAGAGGAAAAAAGCCACAGCAAAGCTCTCGGGAGGAAGTGGCCTCCTTCCTGTAGGGGACTCAGAGTTCAGTTGGTAGCAGCTGAAATGCGAATTTTAGTTCAGTTTCCACACCAACAACTTGAACCCAAAGGAGAAGGGCTGTGATCCAAACACACCTTCTGGGAAGTTGGCAATGCACTCACTAATTAATGAGATTTCCATTTCTCTGCGCATTGATGGGGACACTGGGCGGGGCTTGCTCCGCAGCTCCCTGCCTGCTCCCCTGTGCTCAGGACCTCCAGGCTGAGCGTGGTACCAGGGATGGCTCCAGGGCCTCCAGGCTGCTGGAGGGATGCGAGGAGAACTGGCAGAGATTTGGGTTTGGACAACCCAGGCTCAAATTTGAGCTGTCACTGAGGAGCTGGGGAGCATGAGCCGTTCCCTCACCTCTCTGTTCCTCAGTTTCCTTTTTTACAAAATGAAGAAGGGAAAAAGGAAAACCAGACAAGCAAAACAAAGCCCACTTCCTGGCAATGGAATGCCCTAACATCGCAGTAAGCACACGGGGGTGGGCAGTGTGGGAGGCCTGGGTCCTTCTAGGTGCTCACTGCTAGGTGCTCACTGTCTGTGCACTCCAACCCCTGCTGGGATGCCCACCTCACACGCCTCCCGAGGCTCAGAACAGCAAGCAGCATGGGCTGAGCAGCAAGCAGCATCCTTCTTCAGACTCGCTCCTCTTTTCTGCCTGAGATTCAAGCCAGCCCTCCCCTGACATTTGTCCTTTCTTGCTTCCTTCTTCCTTTTCTCCCGTCTGAGGCTTCCTCACTGTTTCCGTTCAGTCCACAGTAGGCCGGCTTCAGTGCTGTCCACCATGTGTGCTCCTTTGCCTATGTCACATCGGACTTTCCCAGACCCTGCCGGGAGGTCCTACGGGTCCCCAGGCTGCCCCTCTTTCCTCAGGGAGACAGTGGGTTATGAGGTAGTCAGAGGCTTAAAGATGTACCCCTGAATGAGGTGCCCCTGGAAGTTAGGGCCCCCAGATAGCTCTGGCTCTCACAACCTCATCAACTGGCCCTCCTCCGTGCCCCACACACTGAGCACCAGCCTTTGGCAACGAGCAGAGGAGAGGGGCCGGCAGTTCAGTCCTGGCCGCAGCACTAGGCCTGTTGCCTCTCAGCCTCAGCCTCCTCACTCACAGCTTCTCCTCAGGGAGACCTGGTACTGCGGGAAGGGAGGGCTCCAGCCAAGGCTGCAGGGCCCGAGCCCCCAGCCCCTGGAGTCCAGGTCTCTGCTCTTGGCTTCCCTGGACCTGCCTCCCCATGCCCCTCGCACCCTCCGCACCCACAGCCTGTGACAGGCTGTTGCTTCTCTCCACGACTCTTAAAATATGCATAGCCACTATTTGGTTTTCTTTTTTAAAATACATTTTTACTGATTTCAGAGAGGAAGGGAGAGAGAGAGAAACATCAATGATAAGAGAGAATCATTGATCACTTCCTCCTGCATGCTCCCTACTGTTGATGGAGCCCACAACCCGGACACGTGCCCTTTACCTCTTGACTGGAATTGAAACCAGGACCTTCAGTCCACAGGATGATGCTCTATTCACTGAGCCAAACTGGCTAGGTAACAATTTGATTTTCTTAAAAGAGCTGACTTGCCAATGGATAAGTCTAACAGCCTCTGTACTCACACACAAGAACAGGAAAATGTCCAAGGAAAATACGTTCGCAATACACATGAAAAGGTGGTATTGTCTTTTGTGTATAAAGCGTTCGAATAAATTAATAAGAAAAACATTAACCATCTCTGACCGAGGAAACAGCAGGAACAAAATATTCACCTAAAAGATCTTGCAATTTATAAATGAGCCTGACAGTATACTCAACCTTGCTAGTAATCAAGAAAGTACAAACAAATAATTTCAAATGTTTGTCATCTACATAAATTATTTTTTACTTAAAATCTAATGCTTAATTCTGACAAGAGGCTCTGAAGTGAGCATTGGTACATCTCATCACTGATTGCTGAGAATATAAGCTGCTGCAGCCACAACCCAGGAATGCATCCAAGTTTGAAACACTCCTAACCTCTGACCTAGTAATTACATTGTTGGATCGCAGGCTAACAAAAAAACATGAAATACAAGTATTTACGTTTACATGCTTTATTACAGCACAATTTAGCTGGCAAAGGAAAGGAAACAATTAGGTAATTACAACAAATTAAAGAGCTTCTACCCTTCCATGTGGGAGAATGGTTGTGGCATAATGTTTGGTAGCAAAAGCTCAGCACTCAAAAGCGTACGTTTAGGAAGATCTCAGTTGTATGAAGCAAATTTCCCAAACACATACGCCAGCTTGAAATAAACATCCCTTATGGTGCTGGAGATTATGAGCAGTTGTTGGGTTTGTTTTTCTTCTCTTAATTTTCTGCACAGAGAGCACCCGCTACTTTGATGAAGAGCAAAAGTTTCAGGGAACCCACCCCCACCTGGAGAGCTCACAGCGGGAAAACAGAGTCCCTCCCAAGAGGGGCAGCCCTGGCGTGTTCCTTTGGGTGGGGAGAAGGCAGCTGAGACCCCTCCCCAGGGCAGCTCCTGCGGGCAGTGCTGGGGAGGAGCACAGGGTTCCCTGGCTCCACCACCTCTCACCCCTGGGAGGGCTCCGAAGCTCATCCACGCCTCCTGTGGCCCCACAGAGCCCCCAGTGCAGCCTCAGCCCTCCCTGAAGCCTCAGCAGGCTGTCACTGCTGCCACCCAGGCCACTCACTTTTAACAATGGGCCTTGACAGTATCCTCTTGGTCTGTCTTTATGGGACTTAAATGAGACAAGAACCATTTTATTGTTACAAAATATAGCTGAGGTCTTTCTACTCCATTAATAAATACCCAACACAGAAACACACTAATGATGCATTTCGGATAAATATAATCTAATTTTTCTTAGAATTATTTACCTCTTTAAAATAGCCTTCATTTCTGTAAAATTAGACACTTCCATGGTTAAATCTCCTAAAATATATCAAGCATTTCCCTACTAGGTAAACTACCCCCTCGGTGGTATTTACCTTCTTTTCAGAATGGCCTGAGGTCTTTACTGTAACCCTTACTGTCCCTGGTGAAGAGGGGACCCACTGCATACTACCACGAGCCCCTGTGCCAGGGAAGACACTGTATGATCCCGTTAATTAACTGCTAGCTGATGTACTGCTACCCACCACAACCTCACCTCGCAGAGGGCTCCGGTTCCGTAGACGAGAAAATGGAGGCTCAGAGAGGTTAATGTGGAAGGGCACCCTCCAAGGCAGCGAAGCTGAACCCAGATGGAGCTCCTGGAGCCCGAGGCCTGGCTCCTGGCCTGCCCCCACCATCGCACCCGGTTCCTGGCTGGGCCCAGGGCTTTGGATGGCAGAGAATGTCACTTGGCTCTTACCTTTCATCTCTATAGTTTGTCAAGCTTTAGACTGTGGTCAGTTAGTTGCTTTGGTTTTGGGCATCCTTTCTCTAAGGAATTCTTGTTATGTTCTGGTGTTTTTAACCTGTCCTAGTCTGAGAAATTAAATAAGCACATTTCTTCTGGTTGTCAAAGGCCATGGGCCGTCAGTGAGTCACTGAAAAGTCCTCCCATGGTGAGCCGTGACCCTGGGGACTTGTTCTGGGTCACCCCGTGGGTCTTTGCCTGCCTTCCAGCTCCCCAGCCGTATATCTGATCACTGAAGTTGTTTAATGTAGGAACTCTGACCCAAGGGACATTACACAGCAGCATGTGAAACTATTACAGTCATAGCTGCTGGCTTCTTCAAGCGGCTTTCCTGCGCCCCCGTTAGAGGCACTGTCTGTGAAACTCTGAAAGGAAAGGTTCTTGTCTCCATGCCACAGACAAGGAACGCAGACACCTCCAGGCACAAACCCACGGTGCCCACACCTGCCAGGGACGTTCTGCACGCAGTTCCCTGGAAGTCCGCACGGGCATGGCCCGCATGGAAGACTTAGCAGCCATTGCGGTGCTTCCTTATAGAACTAAAGAGACTTATGAACACGCTCCCACCGCCAGACAGTCCGCTCAGAGATGCTGGAGCTGGCCCGCCCGGGGGGCGCTGGGCAGGCACCTGGGCACACCTCCAGGGCAGCCTGCGTGTCCCACGGACAGACGCACACCTGGTGCTGACAACTGGGACCGCCCGGGTTGCCGCAGGAAGGGGGTTCCCAGCGGTGCGTGGGGGCTGACTGCTGGGTAAACCGCATGGAAATCCCCGCCTCAGGGAGGCTCAGAAGTCAGAGGGGAGAAGTGCAGGGTGTCTCCTGGGGCTGCGACTTAATACCCATGTGAGGCCCCTTCCTTCTCTGGGCATGGAAAATGCCGCTACATTTAACACCACATTCTTTGCAGGGAGTGGGGGAGGGCAGGCCCCATTACACCATCCGGTGTGCCGAAACCCAAGGGGTGTGCTTCGTTGTCTAAGTAAAGTGGATTTTCCACAAACCTCCCCTCTGCCCGGGAGCCCAGACGAACGTGATCCGATGAAAGCCCATGGCCTTTGCCGGCCATCCTTTCTGCTTGAATCCTTCCCAAACGTTAGTGGTGCATTGGGACAGCGCTCCCTAGGGGCCATGGGCAAGAACGCCCCTGGCCCCGAACCATAGGCGCGAGGGGCCGCCCCCGGGGCAGAGCAGCCAAAATGCAGGCAGGTCTGTCCCTACTTGGTCACCGTCCGCCCAGGCCGGCAGCCCGTCCATCGGGAGTGTCCCGTCCGAGGGGAGTCCGCAGCCCCAGCCCGCGCCCGCCGGCGGGGACCTGGCGTCCGCCGGGGAAGAGTTCCGAAGTGGGCGGGAGCGCATTTTTTTAAAAAGGGTGGAGACCCCGCCAGCCGAGTGTGCAGAAAAAGTGAATGAAGTCTGCCCGTCTGGGCCGGAGCCCCTCCCCTCGGCCCGCGTAGAGCAGCCGACCAGGGCCGCTTCCTCTGGCCGCGGAGGGTCCGCGCCGGCCCCCGCCGCCGCCCCCGGACCCCGGCCCGCCCATGAGCAGCCTCAACGCCACCACGCCCGGCCGCCCCGGTGAGTACCCGACTCCGGCCCGACTCCGGCCCGACTCCGGCCCGGCTCCGGCCCAGCTCCGGCCCGGCTCCAGCCCGGCCCGCACAGGGCGCAGCGGCCCAGGACGCGGGGCACGGCCGTCCCTGCCGGACTGGGGGACCGGTGCCCGCCGGGCTCAGGCCGAGCCCCGCGCCGTCCCAAGGCTCGCAAAGCCCGATCGCAGGGAGGAGCCCCCTGTCCCGCGCCCGGAGGGACCTGCCCCCTCCCCCACCCTGGAGGGGGACTCGGGGCTCCCGGACCCTTGCACGGGCTCTGCGCCCTCCGCTCCGCACCCGGTCTCCCCCCCATACACACACACACACACACACACACACACACACACACACACACACACACACCCCACACCGGCCCGGGTCCCGCCTGCAGCCCGGGCCTTGGCGCGCACGGTGCGCCCGGGGCCTGGAGAGGGCTCCGGTCGCCCGGCCATCGCGCCCGCTGGTGTGTTCTGTGCGTGCCTGTCGGGGAGTGTCTGGCCAGAACTTTTCCCTAAAAGAGTAAGTCGGTGCCTCCGGAGAAGCGCGGAGGTTAGGCACCCAGAGGAAGGCAGGCTGCTGCTGGGCCGCCCAGGCCGGGCTGGGCTCCTTGGGAGAAACCCGGGTCAGCCCCCACCCCGTACCTGCTCTCAGGCCCTGTCCGGGTGGGGAGGGACTGAGATGGGGAGGAGGGAGCGCTCCCTCTACCATGACTTCAGTGGTTGTCACTTCCCACGGCCGCTTCTTTGGGAAACCCGCGTGTTGTTGGGGACAGGAAATCATACCCCCTGCCAGTCACAGGGGCTGCCCAGAAACATTTCTGGGCCGTCCCACGCCTCCCCGGGCTGTGCAACAAAAACTAAGCATGTATTTATAAAAAAAGAATGAAAGTGTAGCCCTCTTACCCCAACCCTAGCCAAGGCCTTAGAAACTGTGAGGGAATAACCTGCTGCGTCTATAATGTAATCATGTCAGTCATTAATATATTAATAGTAACGATACGGCTATTGGTGACACCCGTTCGTTTTGCGTCTCTAAAACCCACGTGGCTGTGAAGGCTGAGGGGCCAGGTCTGTGTCTGTGCTGTGGCCTCTGTGCACGTGGCTGGCTCAGCGGGGCCTGGGCACGCACAGAGGGGGGCACAGTGGGAGCCTGGCCGCCTGTATTGGCATCCTGTGTGCCACTTAGTAGCCAAGGACAGGCCCGAGGCAAGCACCTTCATAGCCACAGTTTTATCATCTGCCAAATGGGAACATAAGCCATTCCTCATGGGGTTGTGAGAATGCAGTGTGTCCGTGGCTCAGCACAGAGACCGAGGCATGCGAAGTGAGATACATGTCAGGCATCTTTGTTCGTGTGGTGACTGTGGATCTGTTAGTTCATGTGTGTCAGCATGTTTATGTATCTTAGAGTATGTGTGCATCGAAAGTTCACTACTGGGGGAGGGGGGCGCGGCACTAGGATTTGGGGACAGAACACCTGTAATCGTCCGGGTCAGGTGCTGAGGGAGTGCAGGCCTGCGGACGGGCCCTGTGGACAGAGGCCAGGCCGCCTGCCCCAGAGCTCACCCAGCCCCTCCCCCAGCAGTGTTCTGGAATTCAAGTTTCAGACCTTGACCAATGGCTGCAAACACCGCCCTTCTGGAACGGATGGGGATGCAGCCCCCACTTGCACACCATTCCAGATTTCCCTCGGGACTGGTTTTCTGGCAGGCTCTCCGCTGTGGGAGAACCCTGGGCCTATTGCTTGCTGCTAACTGGGGCAGGATGTCTCAGTTTACATCGCTGTTCCTCTGAACTGGAGGTCAGAATGGAGAGGACCCTCTACCCCCTACCACCCCGCCTCCGCCCTCAGGCCGGGCCTGCCCTACCCAGCTGGGCTCCCAGCAGCTCAGAGGCCACAGTGACGGCAGTGAGTCTGTGCAGAACTCCACGGCCTTGCCCTTGGATGAAAGAGGCCGGCGCTCAGTAAGGAGAGGGCCAGGTTTGCAGCCCGTGGAGAATGTGCTGCCTCAGACAGAGCAGGAAGGATGGCAGCTAGTGCCAAAGGAATTCCATCTCAGCCTTTGCTCTACCCCTCCTGGCATCAGTGGAATAGGGGCAATGCCAGGTGACCCGATTCCACTGGGCCTTTCCAAGGGCGCCATGCCTGGACAGCTATTGGGGGCTGCAGCGGCCCCCGAGGAACAAGTGTGGGGGAGCGAGCACTCCGGGTTTGCAGTGGGAGCACGTCAGCCCATCTACAATGAGCAGGAAGAGGCCCCTTACTAGGCCAGCAGGGAAGGTTGGCAAACCAAGTCTCTGCCTCTTTGGGTGGCAAATGCCATTGTGAGGCCCCAGCCGAAACACCTTCTAGAAACTGAGCAGACACCATGGGCCAGCTCAAAGCACAAGCTCAAAGCAAAGCAAATCGGAACAGTGAATGGACAGCGAATGCTGGGAAAAGGACACCTCTGCCTCCTCCAGGCAGGCAGGCGCCTTGCTGCTTTATCAGAACCCTAGGGCCGCTGCATGTGTATACAGTTACTCTTCATTCTACAAAATGAAACGTATTCTCTGTGTCCTGCTGCATCTTGGTTTTTTCTTAAGAATCGCTGTGAAAGGTTACTCCGGCTCCTCCTCAGTGCACCTTGGGGTTGTGTACAGTCTTTGGTTGACTTTTTTCTAACCAGATGCAGTTCTGCCATTCGGTTTGTAAGTAGAGTTGTACGTGCATGTGTTCGCATACTTTCAGGATAAATTCCCCCCCAGAATTTAATTTCTGGGACAAAGCGGGTGTAGCTTTAAAATGTTAATAGATACGGAAAATTCCTCTCCAAAAGATCGCGTGACTGCGAACACCACCGTAGCCAATGAAAGCTGCCCTGACAGGTGAGGCTGGGCGGGGTTTTGTGCCCCTAGAGGACAGTGACTTTCTTCTTCAGGAAAAGCACCTCTTCGTGGCCTTTCAGGTTGCCTGTCAGGTTCCTGCCCCCGTGGGAAATGCCTCCAGAAGTCAGTGACGTGTCCTCCCTCCCGTAGCGAGCTGGTGGTGGAGCAGGGACCCAGGTTCCCCACATGCTGTGGAGTCGCCTGGGTTGACCCCACCTCCAGCTTCACTGGCTTTGGGGAAGTCCACAATGCCTCAGAGTCTCGGTGTCCTCTCTGTACATGTGAGCAGTAACAGCCTCTTCACAGGATCACGTGATGGGCAGGGAATAAAGCTTGGCCCCGTGCCTGGGAGCGTGGTATCTGTGGCTGTTGTTGGCTGACGTTATCACCGCAAACCCTGCCTGCAGGTGCTGGTAATCTCCGCCGGCTGCGGGCGCCCCTGTTTTGTTTTTGATAAAGTAACAGCACCCACATGCCAAGTCCGGTGGCGGGCCTTGCCCGGGTCACCCCACAGCCTGGTCTCCCCAGCCTTTTCTCTCGGAGCTCAGGGGTAAAGCTCCCCAGAACAGAGGCCTCAGCCAGGCTGGGGACACCAGAGTTTCCGAGGCCAACCTGAGGGGGCATGAGGGCACAGTGGGCCTGCTGACCCCGTCCCTGCTGCCCTTCACCTGGGAGCCGTGCCCAGGCATCACGGCTTAGCTTTGCACCGGAGACTGTGGCACAGGCACTCAGAGCCTGCCAGGCAGCCATGCTCTTCCTCCAGGCCTGTGGTCCAGCCTCGGCTCACCACTGCCCGCCAGGCTCCCTGTCTGTGGTCAGGCCTGAGCCACACAGGGCCAGCTGCTCTCCACCTGCCATGCCAGCCAGCTCAGGCTCCCCTAGCCTCCTCCACGGCCCTCCTTGTGTCCAGGCCACTTGCCTCCAGGGCTGCATCCTCACAACTGCCTGCTTCAGCCCCACGCCATTCTCTGGGCCCTCCTCCTCCCCACTCCTGCACACCCCAACCTACCCTCCACATGCACAGGCAGCGCCTGCCCGGCCCATAGCTGCGTGTCACTTTAGGCCACCTCCCATGCCCTCCCAACACAAAACCACCACTCCCCAGGCCCTGGGGACACTTTTCATCCCTGACAGACTCCAGGCCTGCCCGCCTACAGGAGTCTGCCCTCCCCAGGGTCTCCAAGACTCACCTGCCGCCGAGGGGGCCTGGCACAGGCTGCGCTCAGAGGGTGGCGTGGTAGTGAATGGAGTGTCCGTTCCACAGGCCGAGGTGCCTTTTGGAAACCGGACACAAGAGTTCCTAGTCCCGGCCTCAGCATATCTAGGGAGTTCGTGAATAATACACTGAGATGCACAGAAAGTCAACCCAGAACAGATTCTACAACATGCAGATGGGCCCCAGGGCCCACCCCCCCCCCCCCCCAGCATTCAGTCACAAAGCCACCCTCAGGGGGCCCGCCCTCACCATGTTTAATGCTCTGTTGTCACCGTTTTAAAATGCTTAAGTTTGGAAAGGGGACTCACATTTTCATTTTGCATCGGCCCCAGAAATTCTAGCTTTTCTTCGTTGGACAAACGGGTAATAACCATTTCTGCCTCAGGGTGTGTCTGAGGACCAGAACGGTCACCCTGGGTCAAGTCCCCAGCACAGCGCCCCGAACACCTTCCTCACTGGACTCACTGTGCCTCGAGAGCACCCAGAATGAGAGCCGGTGCCCTCCCACTGCCCCGTTCCCTTGTTCCCAGGCCTTCCCTCTGGCAGCCCATTTGAACCCAGAGAATAGCACCCAGCGACAGCATGGCACAGTCTGCCCAGGTCCTGAGGCGGGACCAGGCCTCAGCCCCCAGGGGAGGCGGCCAGCAATGGCTGTGGGAAGCTGCTCTCCCCTGAGCCCTGAGAGCTGCCTCCAACCCGCCTGCCCCTCGTGTTTCTATCAAAGAAGGGCTGCAGTGAGGGCGAGCAGCCCAGGGAGGCGTGAGGCCCAGCAGCTCAGTCTCCTTTACGTGACTGTCTCGTGCTCCGAGGGGAAGAGAAGACGCTTTAAAGACATGAGGGAGGGAGGGAGGGAGGGAGGGAGGGAGGGAGGGAGGGAGGGAGGGAGGGAGGGAGGGAGGGAGG